AATCCTCTTGGACTTTTTTTTAAAGATAGGGGTTACATTAGTTACCTTCCAGTCCTCAGGAATGGAGGCAGATTTTAGTGATAGATTGTGTATTTTTGTCAGCAGATCCAGAAGTTCACACTTGAGTTCTTTCAGAACTCTTGGATGTATGCCATCAGGGCCTGGTAATTCATCAGTTTTTAATTTGTCCATCAGTCATAGGACGTCCTCTGTTGTCACTTCAACACTTTCAGCACCCCTTCTGAAATTGGTGGATCTGGTGTGGGTAAGCACTTTGCATCTTCCACAATAAAGTCAGAGGCAAAAAAAATGCATCCAGCTTCTCTGCCATTTTCCTATTATCCTTGGTGTGCGGCATCCTACAGGGGCGATCCTCTCCCCATGTTATTTAACATCTACATGCGCCCCCTCGCTCAGTTGGTCCAGAGGTTTGGGCTGGGTTGTCACCAGTATGCTGATGACACCCAGCTATATCTGTTGATGGATGGACGACCCAAAATTTCTGGCCAGGGCATTAGAAGCTGTGACTGGTTGGTTGCAGCAGAGCTGCCTGAAATTAAATCCATCCAAGATGGAGGTTCTGTGCCTGAGTTGTGGAGGGATGGACTTAGGGATCCAGCTCCCAGCCCTTGGTGGGGCGCTGTTGGTGCCATCGTAGATGGTAAGGAGTCTGGGCATGATCCTGGATGCCTTGTTTTCTGTGGAGGCCCAGGTCACGGCTGTTACTAGGACATTTTTCTACCATCTCCGGCTGGTCAGGCAACTGATTCCTTATCTCCCTCCTTGTGACCTAGCCACAGCAATCCATACAATGGTCACCTCCAGGCTGGATTACTGTAACTCACTCTACACTAGTTTGCCCTTAAGGTTGACTCAAAAACTCCAACTGGTTAAAAATGCAGTGGCACGTGTCCTTACACCTCTTAGAGCACGTATTCAGCCAGTGCGCTGCCGGCTGCATTGGCTTTCAGTGGAGTACCAAAGCCTTGAGCAGTCTGGGACCTACATATTTACAAGACTGCCTCTCCCATTATGTCCCTTGAAGAGCATTATGCTCATCTGAACAACAGCTGCTGGTGGCCCCCGGCCCCAAGGGCATCTGTTTAGCCTCGGCCAGAGCCTTTTCAGCTCTGGCGCCAGCGTGGTGGAACACTCTCCTGAGTAAGATCAGGGTCCTGTGGGATCTGCTTCAGTTCTGCAGGGCCTGTAAAATGGAAATGTGCCACCGAGCTTTTGGTTGAGGCTACAAGTGTCACATCATTCTGGCCTCCCCTGCTCCACCCTCCTGACTTAGCTAATTCCGAAATTGTGGAGGGTGTTTGCCCAGTGCCCTTTTTAATCTTGGGCATTTTATAGTCCTTTGAGCTGTCCTGGTATGTTCAGTTTTTTAAATTCTTGAACTGCAGAATGTTTTTATTGTTTCATTTGTATTTTTAATATGTTGTGAGCTGCGCTGAGCCCTGCGTGCAGAGAAGGATGGGATAAAAATCTGAACAATCAGTCCTTTAGTAATCCTTTCATCCTTTGGTCATCCAAAGACCCCACTATCTCCCTGGTTGGTTTTCTGCTTCTAATGTATTTGAAGAAATTTTTGTTGTTGGTCTTTTTTTCAATATGTTCCTCATAGTCCATTTTTGCCTGTCTGATCACCGTGCTTACATTTTATTTGCCTCACTTGGACTAGCCTTCCACTGCTTAAAGGAATCCTTCTTATGTTTTATTGCTTCCATTACTTTGTTAGCCATGCAGGCCTTTTTAAAATAACCATTTGTACCTTTCCTAACCCGCACTATACATTTTATCTGAGCTTCCAGTATTGTAGTTTTAAATAGTCTTCAAGCTCCCAAAGGGATTTGACTCTCCTTACTTTTCTTTTCATTTTCTTCTTCACGAGTCCCCTCATTTGAGAGAAGTTACCTAAAGTTAAACATGGCTGTGTTGGTCTTTTTGGGAAACTCCCTATTTACATAAATTCCTTCTAAATGCCATAGCATCACCAAATAATGCTATTTAATATGTTAAATATGAACGCTTTGTAGTGTTGTCGTCTGTGAGGTAAGAAAAAAAATGAGAGATGAAAATAGGAAATAATTTATGTTGTAAACAAGAGTCAATTAATTGGACAAATAGTCACTATATGGTTAGTGTATTTGGATATATCAAGTTAACATCACATTGAAAATACTGAACAAGTATTGGTTTGTAGTTTCATATGCATTATAGAATATTTATTGCAGACATTTAACATTTAAACAATGAAAATGTTTTTGAAAAACACATTATTTATTTATTTAAATTTATAACCCGCCCTCCCTGCGAGCGGGCTCAGGGCGGCGTACAGATGGGGCAAATGCCCAATACATAAAACATTAAAAATGCATTTTAAAACATTCAATACAACTTAAGTGCTCGCCATAATATCTAACAAGGGAACAGATGATGTCATCAGGATAGTATCCTTAGTGGCCACAGCTCCACACAGTACCACCATTTTAGCGCTCACGGCGACTTGGTAATAATGGGCTAGGACAGATAGTAATAGTCATAGACAGATGGTAACAACAGTCATGGCGGCTCCTACTCAAACGCCTGGTGGAAGAGCTCCGTCTTACAGGCCCTGCGGAACTGTGCAAGGTCCCGCAGGGCCCGGATCTCCTCTGGGAGCTCATTCCACCAGATAGGTGCCGCCACCGAAAAAGCCCTAGCCCTAGTTGCCACTAATCTGGCCTCCTTGGGACCTGGAACCACCAGGAGATGTTTAGTTTCAGACCGTAGTGCTCATTGGGGAACATATGGGGAAAGGCGGTCCTGTAGGTATGTCGGACCCCGGCCATCTAGGGCTTTAAAGGTAAGAACCAGTACTTTGAAGCAAATCCGGTATGATATCGGCAGCCAGTGCAGCGCTTTCAGCACAGGCTGGATGTATGCCCCCCTAGGAAGGCCCATCAGCAGCCTGGCTGCAGCATTCTGCACCAGCTGCAGCTTCCGGATTTTCGACAAAGGCAGCCCCATGTAGAGAGCATTACAATGGTCTAGCCTCGAGGCGACTGTCGCATGGATCACTGTGGCTAGGTCGTCGCGGTCGAGAAAGGGAACCAACTGCCGCGGCAGCCGAAGATGGTAAAAGGCCGCTTTGGCAGTGGCTGCTACCTGGGCCTCCATAGATAATGTGGAGTCCAGGAGCACCCCCAAACTCCTAACCTCCGACGCTGGCACCAAAGGCCCCCCCTCGAAGGTCAGGAGCAGGAGCCCCAACCCCAAACCACATCGACTCAAACCCAGGACCTCTGTCTTTGCCGGGTTTAGCCTCAGCCGACTCAGTCGGAGCCAACCAGCCACGGCTTGCAGCGCCCAGTGCAGATCTGGGCTGGAGTCCGACCGGCCGCCCAATATCAGATAGAGCTGGGTGTCATCCACATATTGATGACACCCAAGCCCAAACCTCCGGGCAATCTGGGCAAGGGGGCGCATGTAGATGTTAAACAACATCGGGGATAATACAGCCCCTTGGGGCACCCCACATTCAAAGGGGTGTCTCTGGGACTGCTGTTCCCCTATCACCACCCTTTGTCCCCGATCTTGTAGGAAAGAGGCAAGCCATTAAAGGGCAAGTCCCTGAATCCCTGCGTCGGTGAGGCGGTGGGTCAGCAACTGGTGGTCGACCATATCAAATGCGGCCGACAGATCTTATAACAACAGTGCCGCCACACCGCCCCGATCCAAATGCCTACGGAGGTCGTCAGTCAGAGCGACCAATATCGTCTCCGTCCCATGACCCGGACAGAAGCCAGAGTGGAAAGGATCTAGGACGGAAGCGTCATCCAGAAAGCCCTGCAACTGTAACACCACCGCTCTCTCAATAAGTTTGCCCAAATAGGGCAAATTGGACACCGGTCAATAATTAGCCAATTCAGCCGGGTCCAAAGAAGATCTTTTTAGGAGAGGGTGGACCATCGCCTCCTTGAGTGCCCCCGGGAGTCGCCCCTCAGAGAATGACTTGAGTACATACAGTGTTCACAAGAATTATTATCTGATATTGAAGAGTCTTACATAAAAATCTTTACAGTACATATTCTGATTAACAGTTTTAAAAAGCTTTTCACTCATTACAAAAAAATAAAATACCTCATAGTAGGTTTCTCCCCCTCAGAGCTCCCCCAGACACCTGATTTTTCCACTGGTAAAATTAGGGGAAATCTCTTGATGTGGTGATTCTTTTCCCTGAATTCTTCTAATTTATTTTCAGACCTTTACATCTCTAGTAGGAACAAAAGGCACTGACGTTTAAATGTTTGTCTTGTATATATCTTCTGCTAGTCTTTCATGATAAGTAGTTCATTCATTTCTGAAAGCTGATTTACCAGTTCAGTATCTCTGAACTTTCTTAACCATCGCAAGTCAATTTGTTTCCCCTTGCTACCCTTCTTGAATGAGGCTTCACAACTTGAGAGTTCGTCTTTCATTCTCTCCATACTCCTTTACCTTTGTCTTCTCTCCAGAGAATTTTCCTGTGCCCTCCACTTCCTGTATTTCACTACAAAAGTTTCCTTAAACAACTTTTACTTTTCTGGTTCTTAGATTCTTACTGAGCGACTTTCAGGAATTTGAAATGCCTTTTTCCTGTCTTGCAATCAGTGGCTGTGATCACACGCATTAAAATAATCCACTTTCGGTGCACTTTGCAGCTAGACCAGTTGGAAAGTGCATTGAAAGTGGATTACTTAGTGTGTGTGATCGCAGACAGTATTTGTTTCCTTTCTGTCTTCATTTGAAATTGGTGCAATGCATAGAATAATCTAGAATTATTCTCAGCAAGAGCAGAGTCCTTTTGTTTTGGAATGAAATGGTCAGCCTTAGCCTCAACTTTATTTAAACTTGGGATCAAGATGATCTGTTTTCTGGCGAGTTCCATTTCTGTTGTATTATAGTATCCAATTGATATGTGTATCCTTTTGCCGCAGAACCTTAAGGAGTTTTAAAATCTTGTGTTTATTTTGCAGATGAAGAAGGAACTCAGGATGAGTCCTTTGAATCAAAGGTGAGCAGTGAGACCCTTCATGGACATTTGTCATATCCCCTTCTTGCAGATAAATAAATGTTAATGTTTAGATTCTGTTGCCAATGGCAGTACCTGATGCATACTAATCCTTTAGTCCAAGAAGCTTGGGTTTGCAGGGAGGGATTATTTCATGTTTAGAGGATTAAGACATTCACATTTCACATTCACTTGGCATGTGGAAGAAATAGATTTTTAACATTTCAAACTTGAAAAATTACTATTTGTTTGGGGACAAAAATAAATTAATATGGTGAGGGTGCATGTACGGAGAAGAGAACAGTTTTGAATTTAAAGTAGCAGATGTGGTTGCTGCCCTTGGAGGTATGTTAGGAAGCTGAGAAAGGAATAATTGAATTTTCAAGGGTAAAATAATGCACAATGTGTAAAAATCTCTAATCAGAACTTGGACCCTTGAAGCATCCACCCTCAAATATTTCTCCCTCTTAAATATGAAAACTTGTTTCTTTCTTTAAATTTTACAACCAAAATCTTATGCATGTCAGAAGAGGTGGTGTTGGACAGTCACTCTGGGCATTGTTGGAAGATGGAGATGTAAATATTCTAATCTAAACGAATACATAATAAGCTTAATTTTACTATCCTGCTTCTTATTATGCAGGCAGCCTTGCCATCAGAAGAACAGGTGAAAGACCATCGAGCTGGAGCACATGTAGTAGCAGGTCAAATCTTCATTGAAGAACCAGAAGATCACACTGAAGATGGAGAGAGACTTAGGAACCAAGAAGAACAAGAACAAACTTTAGGGGAGTTGAGCTCTCTAGAATTGTCAAGCTCCTTAAATAAGGACTTGGAAGAGGTTGAAGTGCAAAAACCAGGTACTCTTTTGTATGTCATCTTTGATCTGTATTTGCAGAGTTCGGAAGTGTAATAAAGGCATTAATTTGGGATAAAATTGGTAGGAACTAGGGGAATAATTCTTGTTGTCTGAGGCCAGAACACACAATGTGTGACTCTCTTAACCAAGTGTCAATAATTGTTGCATGTAATTCCTTACTTGCATTGCTCACAATGGAAGTAATGTTTTGTTGCCTTCATCAGAATGATGTGCTTAATTGTAACCATTCAGTTAATAATAAGGTTCTAGCTTTCATCTGGGGCTTGTGGTGAAAGCAGTGGCATGTGAGCCTGTAAGAGCTTTTAAGATCCTCAGCTGCAATGAACAGAAGGAAGAAAGAAGTGTTAAAAGGGGGGAGCACTACTTAACTGACTAGCTTTGCAGTAAAACTAGTAAATGGCCATAGGGATTAAGTATAAAAACTGAAGAACAAGTATACCAAAACTCTGGGTAGGACTGCAGTGCATTTTGAAGGGAGCAACCAGCTTTGTCTGTTAGCCCAAGTCCTGTAAAGATGGCATGTGTAGTGATAAGCCAGTGCATGTGCAGGGGGAACAGACTGCTTGCAACACCCCTTTCTATGCATGTGTGCCAGAACATCGGCACAGCTCCTGTGCAGATACAAAATGTATGCAGATAATCAAAACCATTGTGGCCGGGAATGTTGCTTTCAGAATGTTTCTGATCATGGGAACAGAGATGGAATATAAGTGCTTTGCCCACTTTTTATCGAATGCACATAGATCTTATGCAAGGGCTAGTACAGTAATTTCTACTTGCCCTTTACCTTGGGTTGTCCTTAAATCTGTTGTCCATTCAGGGCTATGGTAATGGGTATTGCACCATACTCTACTATCTATCTATCTATCTATCTATCTATCTATCTATCTATCTATCTATATCATCTATCTATCATCTATCTATCATCTCTCTATCATCTCTCTATCATCTCTCTATCATCTCTCTATCATCTCTCTATCATCTATCCCATCCATCCCATCCATCCCATCCTTCGATTTGATATACTGCCCTAACCCCCGTAGGGTCTCTGGGCAGTTTACATGGGGAAGTGCTAATCACATTTATACCCTAACTTAGGCCACATTGTTCTTGGGGGGTGGGACTGCCTACTGGCACCCAGGTGGAGGCTGATGCTCCTTCGGTCCAGCTTTTGGCTCCATTCCCGGCAGTCCACTGGCTGGAAGTTTCTTCTGGCGCTCAGGCGGTCCGGCACAAGGTCAGCATCCTCTGGCCGGCTGCGTCCCTCAGGCTCCGCCACGCCCGTGGATGACGTCACCGCGCGCCTCCGCTGAGCGACAGCCTCCTGCTGTTCCTGCCGCTGGCCACCAGGGATTGCTCCTCCAAAACATTGAGTGTTTTGGCCAGAGTTCATTTCTTCCAGGGTAGAAGAAGTACAACTGTGCACCAGTTTTCATCTTCTATGATCAGGCGCCCTGACCTGCATGGCCCAGGTTGGCCTAATCTTATCAGGTCTCGGAAATTAAGCAGGGTCAGCCCTGATCAATATTCGGATGGGAGACCACCAAGGAATACCAGGGGCGTGACACAGAGGCAGGCAATGGCAAACCACCTCTGAATGTCTCTTGCCTTGAAAGCCCTATGGAGTTGCCGTAAGTCAGCTGTGACTTGATGACAAATAAAAGAGAAGGTACCCATACGAAGAACATAAAGTATGAATAAGGCTGTAGTACATCAGGAAGCATGGTGGACTTCACCTTCCAGCACTATGGTGACAGAATGTACTAGAGGTAATGTTGACACTCTGGGGGAAAACAGTAGCAACATGATGAAACCTGTACTTATCTAATTATAACAGTTAGAAGGCAGAAGACTTGTTTCATACACCATAGACACCAGCAGGTGCAGCCTACCTTTTTTCACTTAATGCCACGTCAACAGTAACTAGGTTTTGTGTGAAGTCCAGAATAGGCTTGTGTGTGAAAACAGAATGAATCTGCGAAATCCCAAACTGCCTTGTTGTTAGATTAAGTAATGTAGGTTTAATCTTTTTCACAGACAGCTGCCAAACTCAGGTGGTTTTAAATCGGGGCGGGGGCAGGGTGCTGTATGAGTACTCTTCCCTAAAATCACATCTGATCCTAGATTCCAACAATTGCTTCCTAAGAATGTTAGTTTTCAATACTTTGTCCTAGTTGAGTTATTGTGATTGTCTTACTGTTTTTCTGCTCAGTTGAAATGTTTGTATTAGAAGGTTCTACAGGCTTAAAGGCTCTGCAGACAAAATGACAAAGAAATAGCAACAGCTAAGATCCTGCCCAATGCTAATTCTTGGGAGTTTGTTTTTTTGTGTTTTTAGTTTTAAGAGCCCTAGGAGGAACTGCAGATGGTGAGCTGTGCCACTTCCCCTTTCTTTTTCTGGAGAAAGAATATGTGGAATGTACTGCTGATGGGAGGGAAGATGGCAGACTCTGGTGTGCCACGACCTATGACTACAAGAGCGACCAGAAATGGGGCTTCTGTGAAAGTAAGCGACCTCACTGATGCTTTCGTTTAACAAGCTGGTGAACCATGCAAGGAAAACTTCAGTACAAGTATAGGATTTTCTAATCCAGATATGCTCCCCAACTACTTTCCTACCAGTAGGAGCAGGGAAAGTAGCCAGACAAATCCCTCACAGAGAAAAGATTTAGCATCCTCTCATTTGCCAATTGTGCCCAATTGCAGGATCCCAGCTGCAAAAAAGAAAAAAGAAAAGAAAAGTGGATTGCTTATTGTTTTTGAAATTTAAAGCTCAGAGTTGCTTTAAATTCTTGTTATTGCTTGAGCAAGCCATCCTAATTTAATTTGATTTCGGAAGCTCACACAGTCATGTGCAAAAGCAAATATAAGGTTTTATTGCACTAAGCAGAAATAAACTGGTACTTCTGCTTTTCAGCACTTAGGTCTCTACTGTGTCTGGCACTCCGTGTCACTTATTTCAGCGGAAACGGGAGCTTGGCTTGGCAAAGTACAGGCAGGTGTGTCCCCTTTTTAATGCTGCCACCGCCACCAAACTGCAAAGCTATATGTACTTTTGTATATTTCCAGTCTGTCAGGGTTTATCTTGGGAATCTTTTTTCCTTGAATTCTTACAAAGCAAGGCCTACAAAAGACTGTGGGTTACTGAAAGCCCAGGAACTCAATGTGAACCATAGTTCTGTGGTGGTCTGTAATTACCAAAATAGCCATAGAGATTGTGATTGAGCAGTGTTTTAATGTCTCCCCTCCCCTGCAAGCTGAAGAACAGTCAAATAAGAGAAGACAAATGCAAGAGGCAGAGGATGTTTACCAAACTGGGATGAAAATCCTTAATGCGAGCAGTAAAAAGGCCCAGAAGAAAGAGTAAGTTGACTATTTTTCATCCAGTATTACTATGTAACGTTTATAGAAGAAGAAGAAGAGATTGGATTTATACCTCGCCCTTCACAGCCCAAAGGTGTCTCAGAGCGGCTTACAAACTCCTTTCCCTTCCCCTCCCCACAACAGACACCCTGTGAGGTAGGTGGGGCTGAGTGAGCTCTTGACAGAAACTGCTCTTTTTCAAGGACAGCTCTTAATCGGAACTACGGTTTGCCCAAGGTCATCCAGCCAGGTGCAAGTGGAGGAGTGGGGAATCAAACCCAGATTAGAGTCTGCGCACTTAACCACTACACCAAACTGGCTCTCATACTCCAATTATCAGCTTATTGTTATAACTAAAAGGAAAACTAAAGAGGCTACAGTGTTTGCTATTCCGCTACTCCCATAGAAGTTGGCACTGGATGTAGAATTTAACATCTGGAAAATCTCTTCTGTTCAAACAGGGAAAAGCCAGAGGTCTGCCCTTTAATGGCCTTTAATGTGTCTAGGCACTGCTTAATGAAATCTCAAAGCCAATGGTTACCAGTTTTCTGGTAAACAATGTAAACATGTGAAAGGATTATACCATCCTTTCCAATTATGTATGAGGCCTTATTTCATTCATTGTGCTAATGCATACAATGAAACCTTCAGGTAACAGCAGAGAAACTTATTTCCTTATTCCAGAGAGCAATTTTTGTTTCTTCAAAAGAGTAACTGAGCATGTGTGTGTGTATTCTTTTTAAGAGCTTATCAGTATCTTCTGAGAGCAGCTGACATGAACCATACCAAGGCAATGGAAAAAGTGTCTTACGCCTTGTTGTTCGGGGACTACCTGAAGCAAAATATCCAGGCAGCTAAAGAGTTGTTTGAGAAGCTGACTGAAGAAGGGTCTCCTAAAGGACAAATGGTACAGACTTCTTAAAAAGCTCTGATTGGTGAAAAATACATGAAGCTTTGTTGAACTGAATTTTATTTCCTCTAACTTGCATTGTGTTATTTGATTGAAGAATGCTATCTGTTCAGTGGCAACTATTCTTCAATGGAACTGCTGAAAAGAATGACCACACTGCTTTTCTATTTGCTATATCTGGGTTAGGTGTACATCGTGGCTGGTTTTCTAGGGCATTTCCAGTCATGGCTTATTTGCTATTCAGAATAGAGCATTGTGTTCAGTTTTGGGCATCATAATTTAAGAAGGATATAGAAAAGCTGGAATGTGTCCAGAGGAGGGCAACAAAGATGGTGAGGGGTTTGGAGACCAAGTCCTGGAGAGGAGATGACTGAGAGGTGATATGATAACCATCTTCAAGCACTTGAAGGGCTGTCATATAGATGATAGTGCTGAGTTGTTTTCTGTTGCCCCAGAAGGTTGGACCAGAACCAGTGGGTTGAAATTAAATCAGAGGAGTCTTTGGCTAAACATTAGGAAGAACTTCCGGACACTTAGAGTGGTTCCTCAGTGGAACAGGCTTCCTTCGGAGATGGTGGGCTGTCCTTCTTTGGAGGTTTTCAAACAGAGGCTAGATGGCCATCTGTCAGCAATGCTGATTCTGTGAACTTGGGCAGATCATGAGAGGGAGGGCAGGAAGGGTTGCATCAGTGCTTAGTTCTTGTGGCCTTTCTTACATGCCCAGAGAAATGCTGATTGCCACTTTGGGGTCAGGAAGCAATTTTTCTCCAGGTCAATTTGGCTGGAGATCCTGGAGGGTTTTTTGTCATCTTCTGGGAATGAAACAGTGGTCACCAGGGGTGTGAGGGGGGAGGTATTTGTGAGTTTCCTGCATTGTGCAGGGGGTTGGACTAGATGACCCTGGAAGTCACTTCCAACTCTATGATTCTGTGATTCTAATTATCTGAAATAATTGGCCTTGAACGTAAATAGTAGATTGGGGCTGTCAGCCTCCATTTATGGTCAGTTGTCAGGGACACTTTACCAGGCCAAGGGGGCTTCTGGTGGCACTATATCTTGTTACTTACCTGTCATGCCTCAAGTTTCCATAGAAAATTACAGCAAACTCCTTCACCCAGCTTTTTTTCTGCCAAAAGGAAAAGTGGGTGTGGTTGACGTGAGGTGGAAATACTTGACTAAATTACGTACATAAACTCTTGAAACTTCTTATTAAAATCAGATCTTCCCATTGAATCTGTCAAAATGATAGCAGAAGCATGAGTCTTCACAATTAAGTGTAATAATAAAATCTGCTATGTAAATCTTTCTTCTTTAAGCACACAGCAAAGAATCTATTTCTGGGGGCTTCTTCCTGCTGCCTCACAGCCTATTTTTAGATTGGGTCTTAATTAGCTCATATTCGTCATTACTATGGAACTTTACCAGCCTTAACCTCATGTCTTCATAACATGCTGATGTCAAATTTAGAATGTAGTGATCTAGATTAGGGATGTGCAAAAAAAAAAAAATTCGGTAAAATTCGGATTCGGGTTT